ATCGAGCTTATTTTTCTTTAGTTTGCAATCTATCACATATTCTAAGTAGGAGAAGCATGCTTCACCATGAACTTACGTGCTTTCACCATTGAAATGACAACGACATCTCCCTTTCTCTTCTCTATGTAGATGAGCACTATATCCCCACTCAACACTAGAACCTGGATCAACTTCTTAGAACATAAAATCTTAGCTCAGTGCTCTATCAACCAGTCCATCCCGATCACTACGTTAAATCTGCCAATAACCATCGACAAAAGATTGACCATAAACTTCTTCCACTCGAATTTAAGGATACAATCCATTAGAACTTCTTGAACTAAAACTTGACTACCATTAGCTATTTTCAAAATCAAGGCATCCTCTAACATGCTAATAGGCACATATAGGTTTTGGCAAAACGAATATGACACAAAAAATAACTTACGCATGAATCAAATAAGATACGAGTGGGTATGGAGTTAACAAGGAACGAACCAGAAACAATATCTGATAACACCTTAGCTTCTTTGACAGTCATCTGAAAAAATCGACTTTGAACACTTGGAGGGTTATCTTTCTTTCCTTGGCTTCCATCTATCTTCAATCTCAGAAAATCACTTCTAAAATGGCCCGACTCTTTATGCTCGAAGCAGATTAGCCCTTTTACCGGGAAATTCTTCAAAGCATGATCGGACTTCCCACACTTGTAACCTCCTGAACTTGAGTTGCAAGGGTCGTGATACTTGCTTCAACACTTGGAACACCATCTAGCCTCACGCCTAGAATCGTCCCTATGGTTATTGTTGAATGATGTCAGCCTCTTGAAAAGACCCCAAATTTCTTTTCTATCTTCTCTTCTCTCCAACCACAACAGTCTCTTCCTTGCCTTGATCAAGGTCATCTTCCATCAATTATGATTCCATAATTGCCTCTTGGAGAGTGGAAACCTTGGTGTTCCGGACCATCAACTTCATAGCGGTTGGTGAGCTTTTTAGATAGTCTTTGATTTAGGTTTCTAATTTAGGTTCAAATGACCCGCAAAATATATATTTTCATAAACTGACTAAAGTAGTTTCCTGTGGAGTTGTTTCCCTTATTGAATGCCCGTAGATCATCCTTGATCTGTTCAAAGGATCTCTYATTGCAATACTGATCCATCACCTTCATTTTAAAGACTTCATAGGTAAGTAAAGGAATAATCGTAGCCCCAAGAGCGGATCTCATAACATTCCACCACCTTAGAGCTTTGTCCCTTAGCATTTGGGACGTGAATTTGACTTCCTGTCCCTTTTAGCATTCATTAGATTTGAACATTTGTTCGATTTCTTGAATTTACTTCATGCACATGATGTAGTCGGTAGCTCCTGATAATTCTTGTGGTTTTCTACATAGAAAGTTCTTGAATAAACAACCTTTCTCTCCGCGTCTAACACCGACAGTCGCCTACTCTTTAGTGCGAATAGCATTTCCGATTCCCTTGGAACCACCCATGACATTCTCTGCAACCGTTTTGTGTCGTTGGTTACTGGCATTTCTATTCTCTATCAGCTTCATAAACATCTCTTGATGCTTCTCCATGGCCAAGTTCATCTTCTGCATGACACTAAACAACATCACAAACTAAGGTTCTACCTATCGAATGATTGGACTATAAGGGGCCAATGTCACCCTCGGCATATGATCGACTGTACCACCTAACAATGGAGGATTGGAGGGAGTAGTGTATTTACGGCTCTCCTTGGTTGTTCAGGAGCCRTCACRTTTGCCTCTTGGTCGTCTTCTTGGATAGGTGATCTATTCCACATGTTAACCATCCAGACTACAATACAAGAGGAAGAGAAGATAAGATTTCACCAAAAACTATTAAAACATACTATTACATTCATCAAACATCACAATAATAGTAAAGTCAAACACACTCACGTAATAAATATACTCATAATAGCATTAGCTATATGAAATTCTTGACATATTATATAAAATAACTCTTGTTACCATCATCAGAACTCTCAATTTGTTTATTTCCTCCAACTCTAAAGCTCTCCTATCTTAAGAGTTCTACCCACATCTCATAAATCATCATTCAAAGTCTTATATTAAATCTAGGCATAATAATTTTTATACCCAGTTCACTTAAACTAGAGCTCTGCACCATCTGTAACATCTCAAACTAATCATACCAGATATTGTTCCCTTTGTCCATACATAGACTCACAGTTTTAAAACGCATCTAATAAAGGTGGTATGAAGTCTCTTATAAGGAAATATTGTTTCCCCTGCCCAGACCAATATGGAATAATACAATACACCCGCCCTTGGGACCCCAGCATTCTCACTGGTACACTAGTCTGATTATCGGATCTGATACCAATTTGTAACATCCCTAAAATAAGAGTAAATTTAAGCCGGAAAATAAATACGGAATAAATACTTGAATAATAAAGATCACCCAAAAATGGGAAAATATAAGTGTTCACATCACAAAACATAATGGTAAATAACAACATAATAATCTAAACCAATACTAGGTGAAGATTAACATTGAATGTCAATATGATCTCCAAAAGAATTTTATTCAATATGTGACGCTATGGATCTCCAAAAATAGTATATCCAAAATGTCCCTTATGGCAACCATCGCTCTGGTCAAACCTTGGGAGCCCCACCGTTAGGAGATCCTGATATATATGTCATCTAAGAAAAAATGTTAGACTTAATGCCTAATGAGATCAAAAAGTTTTATAAGAAAAAAATTTGAAATCAGGAATATGAGGTTTTAACAAGTAAAGAGTTTTAAGAAAACATATGTTATCGAGTTCAACAACACACATTTTGTAGTTCTAAGTCCTCTAATAACCAAGAAATGCTCATTTGCTAGAATCAAATCATTACGGGACACACGATCATCGAGTTCAACCATCCACGATCTGTAGTTCGAGTCCTTCAGTGATTCATTATCCATTTCTAGCTATATTAGGGAAAATAACTATCCCACCATAAAATTCACAATCTGACTTCTACCTATGWATCCATTTGCATTAAAGTCTAAGCATGTCATTGCTTTAAAATAACTAAGTATGAATCAATTACATAATTACGTACTAACACATGATATCATCATTAAATCTTTAGACCTAAGGTTGAACCAAAAATGGTTCAAAGCTTCATGTCCACAAAAAATTTCCAATAACAAAACATCATGATCAATATGGTTTTATAAGTTTTAAAACCCAAATACTATCATTTACCGAGTACCAATAATATCTCCTTTCTAAGAATAGGATTATTTCACATGAATCATATAAAATCATAAGTTTCATATTCTAAAATATCATATTTAACATGCCATCTCATATTTAGAACAATGATCAAAGGACCAGCCTTGATTAACAAAAAAGACAAAACCCCCCAAATCTCCCAAACTATCCAAAAGTGGTCAAAATCCATCAATATGTATAATACATCAAAATGAACATTTAGGAGATTAAAATATAACATTTAAACATGTATAAAAGTTTATAAATGGTTGAATGAACTCACAATACTAGGTTTTGGAGAAAACCTAAAAACCAAGTAAAATGGTGAGAAGGATGAGTGATTCTCCAACTTAAATCCTCGAACCTTGATGTTAGATGTCATTAAATGCCTCATGAATGCTCTGAAAATTGACCCTAAGATTTCCCTAATCGATTTCAGTGAAGAGAGATAAGAGATATGAGAGGAGTAAATGAGGTGAAAAGCCCTAAAATCCCGACTTTAATGAACTACAAGTGTTCTCGCGACCTTGGTCGCGGTTTTAGTTGCGCCAAAAGTTGCCCGTTCACCTAGAACCACAATTCAACAGTGAGTTTCGCACGGCTACCCGCATAGCTCACTGCTCCACTCATATGCTCTACCTTATCATGTGTTTCCTTGAGACCTTTCGTACCAACACATAACTTCGTAAAATAAGCTCAATATAGAGGCATTCCATGGTCCAAAACAAAGCACAATTAAAATTGGAATATATAGAAAATCTCAGGAGTTATAGTATGTACTTAAATTTTCTCATGTGTTTGTTTTTGTTAGTATATATCTTGACGTCTTATCATAATCAAATAAAGGGAGACATAATAGATTAGATTTGATGATTGAAAACCAAATTAGAAACATTTAGTCAATTGGGTTAGTTTTAGGTGGTCGCTTACCAACAACTAAAGAAGCAAGAGAAACAACGAATGACCAAGCTACTCACATATATGGTTAGTAGGTGAATGTATGAGATATGTGACTAAGAAGTTGTGCACCTAAAAGAGGGTCAGCGGTTGAGCAAAGRATCACCWAACAGGGGTTTCAGTTGGACGATGTCGGCAGTCGATAGGCCAAAACCATAAATTGTTGAGAAAGTCTTTGAAAAATGGACAAGTCCTCAACAGTTAATGTCTAAACGTTAGAAGTTCGTCTTCAACAGATAAAAAGAACAACGAGTCCTCTAGCAAATATGAAGATATKCATGTAAAAAAGAAAAAGAACTTGGAACACACAAGCCTGAAAGGAATGAGAAATACAACATCCAACACGATCTTTTTATCGTCCACYTGAGCCGATGGACTTCAGCCACATAGAATACTTGTCCCATTTATGAACACATATATACCATTAGAGAAAAAGRAACACAAATGTGTGAATATGGTAATATACAATCATTCAAACCAAATTGTTATGCATCCACATGTTGAAAGCATCAATTGATACGAGTATTCTCAAGTTCACAAGTTCTTCAAGTTCTGACAATGGTCATATAGSTTACAGGTAGAAAGTTATCAGGGTGAGTGAGATATATTGTAAGATTGAACTCAATGAAGATTKGCCAATGGTAGAGTTTGGATTTATAACAAAACTAATGTATCAAACCGCTTCTTTTACCTTTTGTATTTTCATATTTTTAATCTATCGGGGACCAACACACAACAATATATTTATGAGTATGTAACATACAATGAGAAATATAGCCCTTCAATTATTGAAATCCTTGTCCATTAACATTGAAAAACTTTTGCTTCAAGTCGTCTAAGCAATTCTTCATTTAAGATTTTTGACCCTCTCTCTCAACATGAACTTTTGAACCTTTCCAGTTGAATTTCGTGGCAGATCTTCGAAAATAACAGTCKTAGGTGCCATAAAATGTGGCATATGATCTCGGCAATATTGAATAATTTCTTGAGCATCAACATGAACACCATTCTTCAACTTCACAAAGGCACAAGGAGTTTGACCCCAATGATCATCTGGTTGTGCAACAACAGCAACCTCGAGCACAGCCGGATGGCTATAAATCACACTTTCAACCTCAATCGTGCTTATATTTTCTCCACCRGATATTATAATGTCTTTGGACCTGTCAATTACTTCTATATGCCCGTCTTGATGTTTGACAGCAAGATCACCACTTCGAAACCATCCTCCTTCAAATGCCTTTTCAGTTGCTCTCAAATCCTTAAAATATCCACTCATGACCGTATTTCCTCGAAACATAACTTCCCCTATCGATGTCCCATCACATTTTACACTCTCCATTGTGATGGAATCTTTAACAACGACTTCCTCAATTCCAAAATGATTCACTCCTTGTCGTGCTTTAAGTTTCGTTTGTTCTTCAAATGACAATAAATCCCACTCAGGCATCCACAAGCACCAAGTTCCTGGACCATAAGTTTCAGTGAGACCATAAATATGAGTCACATGAAATCCTATCTCCTCYATCCTTGAAAGAATCRTTGGAGGTGGAGGTGCACCACCAGTCATGATCTCAACCTTGTGTGGAAGTGGTTTTCGATTGATCTCTATATAATTCACAATCATATTCAAGACCGTTGGAGCTCCGGACATATGTGTGACCTTATGAATCATTATATTGTCAAATATATCTTTAGGATTGTTTTGTCGAAGGAAAACGTTAGTACCACCAACTATAGCCATGCCCCACGAGAAGCACCATCCGTTGCAGTGAAACATAGGCAAAGACCAAAGGTATGTAGGCATCTCTCGCATACCGTGTATGAACACTGTGGCAAGGGAGTTTAGATAAGCGCCTCGGTGGCTATAAACCACCCCTTTTGGACTTGATGTGGTTCCAGATGTATAGTTTAAACTGATGGGATCACATTCATCATGAGGCCGAACTATAGGGAATTCAGTATCTCCACTCTCTACAAGCCGCTCGTAATCATATTTATGGGTAAGGGTCAAGGAGGACTTGTAGTTGGATTCAGATATTATGAAAAGGCGAGGGGCTTTTGAGTGTGTGTTGTTGAGAAGATTGAGAGCTTCCTTAGCAATTTGCAGTAGTTGGTAGTCGATAAAGAGAACTTTGGCTTCTGAGTGCTTGAGAAGGTTTGAGATCATACTTGGATTCAAGCGTGTGTTAAGAGGGCAAATGATTGCTCCAGCCATGGGAACTGCAAAATGAAGTTCTTGCATTGCAGGGATATTTGGGGCTAGTACCGCTACCTGCATCCATMACTTTAAGTTTAGCAACCAATGTAAAGGTGATCGAATAAAAGGTACATGAACATTAATTATTTTAAAAGTTTGTATGCATCCCCTATGTAATCGTGTTTATTGAGATRATTCATATCGAATAAAAAATTCAAACGAAGAGTAAGAAGTTGAATTGTAAACTATCATGATTTAAAATTCATAGTAGGTGGCAAATTATAATAGTTTATAGAGTTATCTAAAATAAAAATTTATAATTTGAAATGTCACATAATTATATATATATATATATATATATTAGTAAACCAAATGATAAATTTACTATTAATTAAATTTCTTTTTTCTTATAACTCTTAAATGTTTATGCGTTAATTAAGTGTAAATTTAAGAATTTAATTAWTTATTTTCAAAAACACAATTATTTTGTAACAAACACTAATAGATTTGAAACGAATAGAGTCTTACGACACCCCTGTGAATGCTTTTAACGACTTTTGAACCAAAATTTAGCGTCATTCGAACCAATGATTAATTTTTATAGCCTACCCTTTTGAATGGTTAAAAAGCCTTAAAGTTGATGAGATTAAATAGAACCCTAATTAAAAGCCAATCACGCTGAGATTTAATAAAGTGGTTTGTATTATTGCCATTTATTGAATGACATTTAAGGGTTTGGATAGGTTAATTATCAGATCGTTACTGTAGCTTACCTGAAGCTTTTTTGGGTATACACAGTTTTTCTATTTTTGGGAAGGTATGCCTTTTCTATTTTTGTACATTTCTTTAGTTTT